GAAAAAAAAAATCTCGTTGCCGTCCTACTGCATGCATGTGGAAGCACGACTCGCGGAGCTGATCTATCAATTACTTCAGTATCAGCGTAGCGAATGCGTACATTTCGCCCACTCAAACGAAATTTAAAACGATGTAAACAGATTATCTTAACGATTTCCTGTGTCCGACTCTGTTGAAACTACTTTAGACATTATATACCGATTTCACCCCAGCCGATACCGACACGAGGGTGAGTCGTGTGTTTATTTTGACAAGGGACGAGACCCATTTGTTGGACTCGGTGTACGGTCCAATAACTCGTATATAATCGTCACATGTTTATAGCGTCTCCAATTGACGTCTATTAGGAACCATCTCACGTGTAATAGCGAATGTGCAAAGTTCTCTTCTCTTTAAATGAGAAATGTTAGAGTTCATAAATTGCAATCACATTCCCTAAAGTGGGAAATTCAACTTAAGAAGTCGTTCTTATTCTACGTTAAAATGTCGAAACCGACCATTTAATAGCTTTTTAATCGCACTTACATTTTTATTGTGTCGTGTAAAAATCTTATCCTTTAAACGAGCAATTCTTGTATATATATATAATCGGAATCTCGGAAACGGCTCCAACGATTTTCATGAAATTTAGTATGTGCGTAGATTCGGAGGCGAAAAATCGATCTAGCTAGGTTTCATTTTTAGAAAATATCCTTTTATCCTCGTTTTCAGGGAATGAAAAATATTATTCGAATATGACGGTAAATTTCGCCGAAAAAAAATGATATAATAGCTCGGTCGGCAATCGGGTGGCCCTGAAACAAAAGGCCGTGGTTCGTGTCACGATCATTTTCATACTTATTTATTTTACTTTTTTTTTTTTTGCTATAACAGATCATTTTCTTTATTTTTTTTTATTTCCAAAATACATGATTTACCAAAAAAAAGCAGAGCAAAGCTCGGTCCTCCAGGTACTATGTTTTAAGTAAGAACTAGCCTGAGATCGATCAACACATTAGTTTGCCGTGCCATATATTGCCTATTTGGGGCTCTGTTGCTGTCGTTCACAGTTTAAACATAAATTCGGCGGGAAGTTAAATTTCTAGCTATCCCTGCAATATCCCCATCGAAACATAAGGACCGTTGTTTTATTTCAATTATTAAACTCCATTGGGATACGAAACCCTATCTTTGCAGCGAGTCAACGCCCTAGCCAATCTCCGTGTGATAATAGTTACGTCACTAATTCGGTTTGCACATTACGTGCTAAATATGTGGTAATCGTCTCGTTACTCTCAACACGAGTGCACTGACTTGCAACGGCAGTTACTTTAATAGATATAATCCTTACTAATGTTACAAAGGCGAAAGTTTGTATGTGTGGATGAATGTTTGTTACTCTTTCACGCAAATACTACCGAATGGATTTTAATGAAACTTTACATGTAGCTTATCTTATCCTTTAAACGAGCAATTCTTGTGTATATATATATAATCGGAATCTCGGAAACGGCTCCAGCGATTTTCATGAAATTTAGTATTTGCATATATTCGGAGGCGAAAAATCGATCTAGCTAGGTTTCATTTTTAGAAAATGTCCTTTAATCCCTGTTTTCAGGGAATGAAAAATATAATTCGAATGCGCCGCAAGAGAAAATGTCATAATAGCTCGGTCGGTAATCGGGCGGCCCCAAAACAGACCAGTAAACGTAGTGATTACATTCTCTTTGAAACAGACGGCCGTGGTTCGCGTCACGATGTTTTACACATTTGTTTTTTTACTTTTTTTTCGATTCCAGATCATTGCTTTCTTTATTTTTAATTTTTTGTCGATTTATTATTTTTTTCCCTTTTTTTTAAAGTTCTTTCTTTTGTGAAAAACATCAGTTCATATTTTCTTATTATTACGTCGGTAAGATCGAAAAATATTATGCATATTTCATTACTCAGTAATTTGTATCTAAATGTAATTTCCAAAATACACGATTTACAAAAAAAAAACCGTCCTACCGGTACTACATAATAATAAGACATAAGCTATAATTTATATACATATTTTTATGTACATCTGTCTTTATGTATGAGTTTTACGCCTTCAGCCTAATCTACGCAGACGTAGTCGCGGGCAGTAGCTAGTATCCTATAAAGTCATTAGTTGCTGTTTATAATGGAGGCCCTAACGCATAGTTCAATTGCAAACATTCACTGCTTCCGATAATAGGCGATTTTGTTTTGACTTATTCTTACTAATGGCCTCCGAGAAAAGATCTTAACCCTAACTTTTGTTCTTTAGTTTGCATGTCCATTATAGGTGTATAGGTGTAGGTAAAAGTACAGTACTTTTTGATCGAGTTGCGTATGTTAAAAATTCTAAAAACTCATTAAAAATTCTAAGTGGTCTCCCAATCGGTTGTCAATAGAGTTATCATTGTACTGTTCGTATTGTTCATGTCCCTACCATATATGTTATATTTTACGCTTACCGCTTCCAGAGCGGTCCGTAGCAGGGCTAACAAGAACTAAAAACCTTTTTAACTAATCTCAAAAATACTATATGATTTAAAAAAAAGTTCTTTATGTAATTAATTAATATATATGTTTTTTTGTGGTGATATTTGGTGTTTGTGTCTCTGAACGTATTAAATTTAGTATAGGTAGTCGAAAAACCTGAGTCCAAATCCCTGCGCCAGCACCAGTAGCAATTTTAAGTGCTGACTTATCACGTGCTGAGCGGTGAAAGAAAACATCGCGAGAAAACCTACATGTTTTCGAAATAATAGTATATTTTAAGTTCACCAAACCTCAGTAGGGCTTTCTTTACACAGGAGTACTTTGCTCGGCAGTGGGATGTCCAACGTAATATAATAATCACACATGTGTATAGATTGCTACTTAACTTTTTTTAATAACTTACGTTTATACTTAGATTATTACTTGAAATATTATTTATTTTATTTTTCTATTAATATTACTACATTTAAATCCCTTTCGATGTATCCGAACTTTTAAAATCGAACGTCTTAAAGGTCTCTATCTTGAGTTCAGGTTGCAAATAGTACAAAATAAGTTTATTCGCCGCGCAACCGGTGCGCAGTGGTATCAGCGCAACGTCGACCTGCACAGCGATTGCAGACTCCCGACGATTCGCGCACATTTTAAAGATTTGACAAAACGGTTCTTCGATAGAGTCCAGCATCATCCCAACCCTCTGGTGGTAAGCGCAGCAAACTACCAACCGGACACAAACGCGAACGTAAACAAGCGTCGCCCGCGAAACGTCCTCATCGACCCGGTCGACGAAGAGGACTTAGACACGATGGACCCACCGCCGGGGGTCCCGCCGGATAACACTACACCCACAGTTAGTGTAACAACAATCACACCAGTTCGCCCTCGCCTCCGAGCACGGCGAGACCCACACAAACGCGTACACAAGGTACACCCGCGTTCCGGGGCGGTTCTCACCGCTCCCAGCCACCGATTAGCTAAATGCACAGTCGACGGCCGTCGGGGTCTCGGTCCGAACCGGCGACCTCGACGGCCCTTAGATGACACACCATAGTAGTTAAACGCACGCATGAGCACATGCGCGACCCTACCCATAGCGGAGGGTCCAAACCCGTGGGTTCTGGCTAGCCCACCGGTTCTGCGTCCGATGAAGCTTTAATAGTCTCGGGACTGAAAGCAAAAACATCAGTTAGTACAAGATACAAGATACAAGCTTGAGTTCATATGCCGATGCTTTCACCAATAAACAGCTGTTTTTGGTTGCACCAAAGAGCGCAGGCCTTTGCCCTACTGTGCTGTATTTTCAACCGACTTCAAACAGGAGGAGGTTCTCAATTCGACTGTATTTTTTTTTAAATGTTTTTTACCTCAGAACGTTGGACTATGTGAACCGATTTCGATGATTCTTTTTTTTTTATTTAAAAAAAAATTCTAATTTAATTTGAAATGTTAATTCATTGGTATTGAATGCTGGGCTCCGGACGTATGAAAGAGGATGAATAGAGAGCGAGGTATTTGAAGTCGCTTTGCTATTTCGTTAATAAAAAAATAGAGTTGTGTTCAAAATGTTTGCCGTTACCTATAATAGAAATTTAAAATTTTTAAATTCTCATTTTACCGAAAAAAGATATCGACGCGAAAGCGTTGTAATAAATATTAGTTGATATTAAAAATATGTTTGTGCTTACAATACAGCGTGTCTTTACAATCGCGACAATAAATGAACACACATATAGAGGATAACTTTTTAAGATTGTATTAAACATTTACATTCTTTAAACATCAATATTTACCGAGTTATAAAATTTTCCAAAACAAAGAATTTTACAACACCCTTACGTATAAAACTGTAACGTAAAGTTCATTTGTAAAGGTCACAAAGCATATGAATGGGTTGAATGAATTTAAAAGAGACAAAACATACCGTTAGAAAGAGAGGCTTGTAATGCGACGCTGTGGCAACGAATGAAAAAGTCTCTGAATGAATGAATCTCAGTCAGTTGTAGTTGTATAGGTGTTACAAATTTTCTTTCTTTTGTACTTATTAGTTTGTTTGAAAAATATTTTTTTTTTAATTATGGAGTTTCTTTTATGATTATTGGCAAGTAGCGTTAGACGTGTGTTCATTTATTGTCGTGATGGTATCGACACGCTGTATATAACGAAAAGGACACAATAACAGTTTCGTAGATTGGACATGAGTATGCCCTAATACCCTCTTCGGCGGTGGTCGTTCCCAATAGGGGGACATTATTTATTAAAAAAGTAGTAAAGTAACAGCCTATACGTGTCCCACTGCTGTGCAAAGGCCTCCAGTGTGCAGAGGGTATCACGGCATAGTCCACCACGCGGCTCCCCTGCCTATTGGCGGACTGCAAATATCTTCTAAATATTTTCTTTTTGCTTTTATTTCGAAAATATGCAGGTTTCTTCACGATGTTTACCTTCACTGTTTAGCAAGTGATGTGATTATTTATTAGCTGTCGCTTAATTTTATTCTGTCAATTTGCAGATGCTTGTCCAGGCGTTGTACGATTTCACGCCGCAGGAGGCCGGCGAGCTGGAGTTCAGGCGCGGTGACGTCATCACCGTGACCGACCGCTCCGATCAGCACTGGTGGCAGGTAAGGACCCATTTTCCGTTTTAACCGACTTCAAAAGGAGGAGGTTGTCAATTCGACTGTATTTTTTTATGTTTGTTACTTCGACAACTTTTGACTGAGTGAACCGATTTTGATGATTTTTTTTTTATTTGAAAGCTGGTGCTTCCCATGTGGTCCCATATTAATTTCATTGGTATTAGATCTTGGGCTCCAGAGATACTTAGAGAACTCCTGAAAATCGATTATAAAATGAATACAGAGCGAGATATTTGATGTCGGTTTTGTTTTTTATTAGTAAGAAAATGGTTATTACACCCGCCAGACGCCACACAGAGGTATAACACTTCAACTTCATGTCGTCTAGTACTTACCCGGACGGAACTGCCCATTCGGCATTCGTGCAACAGCGGAGACTGTCGCGTGGCCCTACCACGTTTAATCACTATTCGACCGTGTCAATTTGCAGGGCGAGATTGCTCACCGCCGCGGCCTGTTCCCGGCCTCCTACGTGACGGCGTACCACTCATAGTGGCGCGATGCGACGTCTTGCCCCCCCGCCAGCCCCCCGCAACGGCCCCCCGAACGCCCCCCGCACCGGCGGCGCGCGTGCGAACTAACGCAAAACGCCGACCCCCTCAACGTACAGTGAGCCCCGCTATGTACGCGTCACAACCGGCGGCGAGTGTCGGCAACTTGTCGCACCGATCTCGTATTTCTGATCGCAGTTCTGCTGTGCGTTTGTTTGATTGCTCCGTTCGTTGAAAGGCGCAGTGGGAGTACCGCGTGATATTTCTTCTCTATTATGGTACGAATGGCGCGTTTAGAAATGGAACGTCGGATGGTTTTCCTTTCGCTGGCAACGGGCGGTCGGTTGAGTGAATTGTCGGTGGGAGCCATACGTTCGTGTAGTTGAATCCTATGCGGTAGATTCGATCGCATATCAAGATTGAATGTGAATGTGATTCATTGTTGGGGTATCTTCTATAGTGAAAATGTAATGTATGTCTGTCTGTCTGCATATGCGTTTTGACACACGAAGATCTTAGTTTTGTTTACGACCTTTTCCGCCCAGTTGACGTATGAACATTCTGTTAATCGTAGATGCCGTAGTGTGGTTCAATCAAAGTCCACGCAGACCTTTCCCGCCGGTTGTGAACCGTACAACATATAAGAACATTGGTTTTCCATTTTCAATCCATACACACCAGTGCCGAGAAGGCTCTGCCGCATCGGGGTCTAATTTTATACGGTAATGTTTTCGATGTGTTTTATGGTGCTTCGTGTCCTACAGCTATCCGATCTACGGAACGGATGTATGTTACTTATAAGCGCATCGCGCCACGCCATACTGGCTCTTATGCAGCGCGCTTAAAGCACATTTTTGCAACGTCACGTTGCGCGCTAGTACAAAATTTGCCTACGAGACGAATTAGTGAAGACCTGCGTTCGTCTTCGTTTCTCATCGAGTTTTTGATTGTTCAACGTCAGAGCGTGACAATTTACCGAACGGCGAACATTTCGTCCGCAAACGTGCCAGAGTTATTTATAGAATATTCGAGAAATATCGCTAAGTGTTTTCAATGCAGAGAAATGGGATCAAATCAGCTGTCTACGGGAAAAGTCAGCTACCACAACACATTGGACGCCTCCAACCGGACGATTTTAAAAGATTGATGTGATTGTTTTCAATAATTTTGAACACACGACTGTTATTTATCAACATATTAGTGTATAATGCTCATTTTCTTAATATTTACCATTTACACGCTAGATAAGTGATAGGCCTTAAGTTTGTTTCGGTTTTTATTTCTCACGCGTTCGCGTATAAAAGCTATGTAATCTGGTACCATAGTCAAGTAGGTAACCGGTGTGAAGCGTAGCGTCCAACAAAAAAAAAAAGCTTTGCTCCCCTTAGATGTAGGCATTCGACGGTTTGTGTTACGCACAATATGTAAGGCCCGAATATTTTATTATATTATTATTCATAATCATGTAATCGGACGATTTTATATTGGCGATGTTTTCTACGTAACTAAGCGTGTATGCAGCGAGTGCATATATTATTAACTCAGGCGATGCTTTGTACAGCTTTAGATGTCTCTAACTCGGTCCCGCTGGCCGCATTTAACCGAATCGATAGGGCGATTAGTTGGTAATTTTGAAATCTCAAATCTCTAATGTAACTTTATGGTACCATTTTTAAAAAAAATTTAGACGACGTAGCGTACTACGGTAAACTAACGTAAATAACATTTTTAATCTCAAAGCCTGTATAGATGGTGGCAACGCGTTGCCCAATGTACTTAGCTAGGGTATATAACTATATATGCGTTCGATAGTCATGAGATCGGAATTAATAAAGTTGCACTAGTTGGCCCCATGTAGATGTTTATTTTTGTTATCGTAATGTACCCAACAAAGTACTATATTTATAATTATCGCGGATCGCGTACAATCTAAAACGAGTCTACTCGTGTTGGACCCAAATCCACGATGCGTAGGTAGAAAGTTTCAGTTTCGTCACATAATTATCCCTATCGGCAAAGCATTTAAACAGTGTTAGGTTAAGTCTGATAGAATCGACGGTACAATCCTCGGCAGCGAAGCCGGGAGCATATCCATTGTATTGTGCTTCTCGCTGTAGTGACAAAGTAAGCGTACGAAGGCAAGTTTATAAGAAATTGGAAGTGCTATAATCTATAATAATCAAAATATTTAAATAATTAAGTTATGATTCTCCAATATTGTGGAAGATGTATAATATTTTTTACTAATAAATTTAATATTGTACAATTGTGTTTTATTTTAACCATGTAACCGGATGTTCGTTGTTTGAAAATAAATCTTTCATGTAAATGCAGGGAAGAACATCATACTTATGTGATTTAAAAAAAATCATAGCGTTACTCCCAATGGCATATAATGTTTGATTGATTTTACTTGTTTTCGTTGGCCATGGTTACCAAAACAGATTTGTTAGATTGTTTGGTCAACCGAAGAATCATCCCAAACCTCTTGTGGTAAACGCAGCAAATTACTTAAGACCAAATCGACTGTTCGAAAACGTCGGTTGCGTAATGACCTAATCATACATACACATGAAGTAATTTTTACTACCCTGGTGGTCTGGCGGTTGTGGGTATGGGCAACGGGAATCGAACCCCATGACCCGAGCACTGTATCAAGAAGTCATCAAGGCATCATCCGGGAAATGTGGCCATGTCTCGGCCCGAACAGAGTGGAGATAAAGCGATTTTTATTACCAAATCGTATATGACAAACAAAGGCGTCATTAATATAAATACAGATAAAATAAGGGGATTAGAATATTCCGAGTCCACAGGGGTCACAGCAATATCCACACAGTGCTAATATAAAAAAGCCAATCGCCCCAACAATCTCATTGCAACATCATCAAGTACAGCGAAACCAACAATCTCATCGCCGCCAGGTAAGAACTGTCATAGTCAACAACCGCACACAACCCCGGTGGCCCGTAGGTGACAATTTGTACCTCAAAAGGATAAAGACATACTTGGGCCTCTAATACAGCTTTATTCAAACACATGGTTCGTGACCTATACGCCACCTCTATTTATATAGTTATACTAGCCGACCCGGCAAATGTTGTTTTGCAATATAAAGTATTTGTACGGTAGAAAAAAAAATTATAAATGTATTCCATACTGTATATACGTATAAAATTTCATCAAAAATCTGTCAAGCTGTTTCAGAGGAGTATAAACATTTAAACTATAGCAATAATTTTATTCAGTTGTGTATGTAAATGTTAAATGAGTTCTAATTTTAAGTGATAACCTCTGCCCACATTTGCAACACCCATACTCAGAACGGATGCCGACACCAGGGTTGACGTGCAGGGTCGTACCAATCGTGGTGCCTTGTTCGAATATGTCAGCAATAAACTTTCTTCAAACTTGATCTATGTATTGTGGTTGTTTAAAATAATTTTTGGCATTTGACAAGTTGGCAAATATTAGAGTTCATTGATAACTTTTAAAATGATGTGTTCTTTTCATATTATTGACATAGCCACAGTTGGTAGAGGGGGCAACCGTGCTTAATTGTTCCTTCATTCTTCTGTTTCTTTTATTTATTTATTTAAAAAGGTTTACCAACTAAATACATTAAGAAACAATTATTATTCTGATGTAATTCACTTAAAAATTAAGTTAAACATTACGTATATATGCATTTAAATTAAAGGTATACACAACATCGAATAAAACACTTTCTTCAAGGAGAACTGTAACCTAGTGTTATAGTGTAATATATAAAACTTATTATTAAACTATGAAGATGAAATAAAACACTAGTAACATTTAAATATTTTATATCCCATTTAACATTATAAATAAATAATTTAGGCACTATGTAACCATTCAACAATAACGTCCTTTTTATTAAATAAATTATCATTTATTTCATCCATAGCTAGATAACATATAAAATAAAATAGTATTTTATTTGTAGTTTAGTATAAAATATAAAAAAAATTAAAGGCAAATAAAAATTAAGCTAGACATGCATTTTTCGTTCGTAAATACTTTTTACAAACAATTTTTTTCTCCGGAATGAGATAACCAAGAAACGGCAACCCTATTTGTTGATATAAATTTGTGCTTACGTAAATAACATCCTTAAAAAAGCAGCAAAACATAGTACCGCAAAATTCAAAAACTCCCTGTTTGTTAGTTTGTTAAGTATATTCTCGTGTCGTTATGAAAAATTTTCAAAATATCCCAGTTATAAACAAACAATTTGGTCCACCTTAAAAAACTAAAGCAGTGAATAAACACCTAATCCAAATTTTTCTCCATTGTCTTTTTTGGTAACTTAAATTTTTCTCATTTAATTTAATAAAGATCCATGATACACTAATCACCAAAGTCTAAGACTCAGAAACTGACATTTTTTTTCGTGTAATCCCTTTGATTATATTATACTTGTATGACAAATATATAATCAAAGTATAATCACTTTAAAAAATGAATCGGCCACTAAAAAAAATTAAGAACGAATTAAAAGCATGATAAAAGTGTCCTAATATAAAAATTTTAAAATGTTAGGCCTTAATGTTAAAACAATTTTGAATGAATATACGTGTATGCATGCCTATAGGCAATTTTTGTTTAAAGATTTCATCATTACTGTAAATATTTTAAGCTGTTTGGTGTCTATTATTAAAGTTATACTTGTGGCGTTTTTGGGAAAAAAATGTGCGTAAAATGTGCGGCAATCAATAACTTTTTGACATTTACATATTATAATTCGAAGTTATATAATTAGATCGTTATCAATTGCATTTGTCTTTTTGACAAAAAAAAAAAGAGTACTGGCACAGGATATAAAATGTTTAGTTATTTTTCTTTTGTTACGTTTAAGATCTTTCGTTACGCTTAAGAAGTATAACTTGTTACGTGCGAACATGATGTATACACGTTTTTAATTATACTTGAAAATTTGTTGTTAGGTATTAATGCCACGCCGCCATTTAACCCAAGATGTAATTTTACGTGCTGTAGGCATGTTTGAAGCGTGCCCTCAATCAAGCAACCTGATGTAGTGCAGTTGCCGTCCAGTCGAACCATTCTGTTATCCCAAGATTGTGGCAACGTTATCGGCTCACTGGGAACACGGCTAAACGATATCGTAGTATATCGCATAACCATAGAAGAGACAAGACTTTTTTATTAGGAACATTTCCAGACGGAAGTTAAAAACGGCTGCGTGGAAATGGAAACTCTTTCAAGGCTGCGATCCGAACACCTGATAACTGTCAGCACCGAAACTGCGCGGTATTTATATTGTCATAGGGCATTTCGGGTCGCAGCTTTTCTGAGTGGGAATCGTGACCGGCGGTCGTTCCGTATAGAATTCAAACTCGCAAGGGGAAAGAGTCGAGGCGATCGGACGGGATTTGGTCGTCAACGATTCGAGTAGCTCTTCGTTGAATGCAGTCAAATAGATGGAGCTGGTATTTCGGTGCCCCAAACCAGAGGTGAGAACAGTGTTCCATGTGCGGCCGAATCTGTGCTTTATAAAGCTGCAAACGATGTGCCGGTAGGAAATACTGTCTCGCTCGATGAATGAAATGTTATTTTATATTGTTTTCTTGATTTTACGCGAATATTATACATATTAAATGAAACTACTTTACGGATTTTATCGCGTTTTTTTTATTTTAATTTAAATTCCCGACGTTTCGAACCCTTTCCAGCGTTCATGGTCACGGGACAGACTAAGTTGTTAGACGTCTTGATGTTATAGTTAACCCCGGCTACCGTCAATTATTTTGTTTATTTTTATTCCGATCCACGCAGAAGGAGCTTATGGTATCTTGAGGTCTGGCAGTGTTGTTGTGCTTGGATTTAATTTTATAAATTATGGGATCCCAAGCAGATGATAAACTCCAACCATCTTCTCTATTGAAATTAGGATGTTTCTTTATTTCAATAGCCTCGCGGATCATCCTTGGAAGGAATCGGTGTTCTTTTGCGAGGATTTTCGGTTGATCAAATCTAATGTAGTGGTTGGGGCGGTCTAAAATATGATCACAAACTGCAGACTTCTTCAACCGTCGGTGCTTCACGTCAGCTATGTGTTCTTTAATTCTGGTTTTAATTGATCGTTTTGTTTGTCCTATGTAAGAGAGCCCACAATCGCAGTCAAGCTTGTACACTCCTGGATCTTGTAGAGGGATATTACACTTGACAGATGGTAAAAATTGACTTATCTTCTTCGGTGGCTTGAAATATGTTTTAATTGAAGCACGCTTCAAGATATAGCCAATCTTGTCAGTGACTCCTCTGACATATGGCAATACAGCAGACACTCGCTCGACTGTGGCCGGTTTCACTCGGTCACTGTGACGCAGGCGCGGGATTTGGAGCTTGTTGTCACGCAGCACTTGCTTGACATTGTGTAGCTCAGCGACCAGGTGTTCCTTGTCACAGATCCCTCGTGCTCTCTGTAACAAACATTTACCAACAGTAGCTAACTGTGAAGGGTGGTGGTGAGAATCACCATTTAAATATTTATTTGTATGGGTCTCCTTTCTATACACAGTATGGCTCAAGGTGTTGTCAAGATTTCGGATGACTAATTCTGACGGATAACTACTTGCTGACAATGAAACTATGGTTAGCTTTGACATAGTCTTTATTTACATGCTTACCTATAGAAGATTGTATTTGAATAGTTACTAGAAAGCTTAAGGAGAACAACATGCCTATAGAATATGCATTACTGCTCAAACATTGCCTCACATCTGGCTATCTATTGTGGAAGGAAGAATTCTACATACAGTTGGATGGTGTAGCAATGGGCTGCCCAGTATCTCCCATTGTCGCAGACATATTTATGGAAGACTTTGAGGAGAAGGCCCTTCAAACAGCACCCGTTCAACCTAGATTTTACAAGCGGTATGTAGATGATACTTTCATAATTTTACCATCAGACAAAGTAAATGCATTTCTAAACCACCTCAATTCCTTACACACTAAAATTACATTCACTATGGAATTAGAGACATGTAACTCCCTAGCCTTTCTAGATGTATTAGTCATCCGAAATCTTGACAACAACTTGAGCCATACTGTGTATAGAAAGGAGACCCATACAAATAAATATTTAAATGGTGATTCTCACCACCACCCTTCACAGTTAGCTACTGTTGGTAAATGTTTGTTACAGAGAGCACGAGGGATCTGTGACAAGGAACACCTGGCCGCTGAGCTACACAATGTCAAGCAAGTGCTGCGTGACAACAAGCTCCAAATCCCGCGCCTGCGTCACAGTGACCGAGTGAAACCGGCCACAGTCGAGCGAGTGCCTGCTGTATTGCCATATGTCAGAGGAGTCACTGACAAGATTGGCTATATCTTGAAGCGTGCTTCAATTAAAACATATTTCAAGCCACCGAAGAAGATAAGTCAATTTTTACCATCTGTCAAGTGTAATATCCCTCTACAAGATCCAGGAGTGTACAAGCTTGACTGCGATTGTGGGCTCTCTTACATAGGACAAACAAAACGATCAATTAAAACCAGAATTAAAGAACACATAGCTGACGTGAAGCACCGACGGTTGAAGAAGTCTGCAGTTTGTGATCATATTTTAGACCGCCCCAACCACTACATTAGATTTGATCAACCGAAAATCCTCGCAAAAGAACACCGATTCCTTCCAAGGATGATCCGCGAGGCTATTGAAATAAAGAAACATCCTAATTTCAATAGAGAAGATGGTTGGAGTTTATCATCTGCTTGGGATCCCATAATTTATAAAATTAAATCCAAGCACACCAACACTGCCAGACCTCAAGATACCATAAGCTCCTTCTGCGTGGATCGGAATAAAAATAAACAAAATAATTGACGGTAGCCGGGGTTAACTATGACATCAAGACGTCTAACAACTTAGTCTGTCCCGTGACCATGAACGCTGGAAAGGGTTCGAAACGTCGGGAATTTAAATTAAAATAAAAAAACGCGATAAAATCCGTAAAGTAGTTTCATTTAAAATGTTATTTTAGTTAAACTCTCTAAATTGTTCAGAATGATTATTCAAAGAGTTTAACCATCCTTTTGGCAACTAAAATGACATTTGAAAAGCCATTTGATAGCTAATTAGTTAACTTCTATGATGATCAGTGTTTCAGAAATTGGGCGTCAGACTTGGATCCAAAGTGTGGTAGGACCACGCAATAGTCTTCGCTGTTGCAAGAATGGGCCTCGAGAAGAGGACCAGCGTGAATTGGAAGTGTTACACTACTGCGTTTCGTCTGCTGAGTGTGGTAGCCGGGGCCCACTTTATTAAAAGGTGGCAACGCGTTTGCAACATTTTACAGGTGTTGCAAATGCCAATGGCGGCGATTATCACTTAACATCAGGTGAACCGTCAACTCGTTTACCACCTTGTAACATTTAAATAAAATGTCTTGCGACATGAATCCTATTGAGCCTGGGATTTACTCGGAAGAATTGCATTTGAACAACTTCCCCAAAATTTTAACACGGAGTAAGGTCTTTTTCGTCATTTTTCTCCGACATGGAGCATAATTCCACAGGCCACAATTGATAATATGAAATACTGAATACAGTATACCAAGGCGGCGCAGGGCCATAGTAAATCCTTTCGGAGATCCAACTGACTACTAAATATCAACTCAATAATTGTTTCCTACAATTTCAACCTAAATTTTGTTTCAGGCCTCTGTCGCGTTAAGTAATTTTAACACCATTTTTTTTAATTCTTAATAAATATTTTTTTCTACTGTTAATTTCAATTTTATTCTATTTGTTAAACAGACCTAAAACTATTCTTTTATTCGTATAACCTTGCTTATCTATATCAAATGTTGAAACATATTAAGTTACCTTTTTCGTTTAGTCGTTTGAGTCTTGGACAATGTTGACTAGTGCATTTACATTGATTTCTCCTTGTCTAAAACAATATAAACCGTCAATATTCTTACACAATATTCGTTCTTGAACACTCGTGGTGGATTTACTGACTATTGTTAAATTGTGAACTTATATAATGATAGTTAATTGGAATTTGGCTCAACATTAAAACTTAAGTTGCTGTGGTGAAGTGAATAATTTCAGAAACTAATTGCGAACATTTTTTAAAGCACCAATGTGACTTATCTAAGACAAACAATCCAAGAGAAAGGCTCTATTATTGCCAACCTTTTCTTGGAGTTGGTATTTAATAAGTGTCCAAAGTTATGTCTGCTTAGCGTATCGACAGACCATACAGTAAATGATTGTTTTTGCTTTTATTGTATTACCTAGTAATTAATACCTGTAACAAAATCGACTGACACCGCGGGGCACCTATATTCATATTTGTATATAAGCCAATTATTGCTAATTACCATAGACTTTTCTCAAGGTTCATTTATATATAACAATAAAAGTACTATCTAATTTTCTGACACTACGGCATCCTGAGAGGATTATATAAATTAAATTGTTGTATTTTTCATTAAAACAACTAAAAGAAAGAATTCACCTAATTGGAACAGTTTGAAGAATTAACAATAGGTATTTTTCTATTTATATTTTATCCATTATATGGAATACCTAAAAAAAATTCACTAAGCACCTACGTGCAACTTCAAAAAGTATGACCACCTATAGCGAGCATAATGTTTTCAAACGCAATCCAATTAACCAAAGCCCATGGACCCAACCTTATCCAAATTGGTATAAAGCCCTTATATAGCGATAAAACTCCTTCGTTCTTCACAGATTGTTGTAGGCAATCGATCATTCCCCGGTACAGAGAACCTCTGAAAAAATAAAATTTTTATTAAAGCTCTCAAGAATTTGTAAATGCTAGTTGCTTTATATCAATAACGACTAGTGAGAGCAAGGATTTCCCGGTTCTTGCAAAATTACTTACGTCCGAAAGACAACCGACTCTACCTAATTGGACCTAGCAACTAGTTAGAGTTGTGCCTTTTTCTAACTACTATATATATTTCTGATGACTGACTTCCCTTTTAGATTTCGAAGAGTAAGAGTTATTACGAAGACTTCTCTGGTAGAATTCAAAGAGTGAAAACAAAGTCATTAAAGAATCGTTTAAATTAAATGGAAGTGGTGCCATCTACGTAATAATAAGACGTCTGAACTCACGTGAGCCCGGTGTATGTACCGACTAGATGCCGACTAGTTTCGGACTAATCGGAGGTCCTGTCGGAGGAACGTGAGTTCAGCCGTCTTACTATTACGTTAATAATGTCTCACGAAAGTTTTTATAATTTTAGTGCCATCTATGTATATTTAAATGGAACAAATATCAAACCTACGCTACGTCTCGGTTGCCTAACTTATATTTTAACACCGTTTGCACAAAATATCCTCAAGAGATGTCGCTAGTGAGTCCTGTTTTGAAAATTTATAATTTTGCACGGTCATGATGCAAGCAATTCTTTAAAACCAAAATATTGGGTCACCTCAATTATACGAATTGTATCGCATCATGATACAGCATTTTGATAAATGTTTTAGTTTGTTACCGAGTTTCTTTTCAATTATATTTAAAACGACGTGATTGTAACAGCTTACCAGTAAAATACTGTGTAAAACAAACGTTTAATTTTTATTTAGTAAGTGTTAAAACGCACGAAATTGTTCTATCGTTATTGTCTAAATCACGAGTCAATGAATGAAATATATGAATCCAGCCGATGTCGACTTGAACGAAAGGAAAAGGACGGCTTGCAACGAGCCTGCGCGGGCTGTGACTTTGACCCGTTTCTCTGACCTCGACCGCGCCGCGTTTCTAAGGCCACAAATAATGCATCAAAACATCGACCGATGTTGAACATACACCGCGCGATGTTATCGATTTCACACATGATTATCGGTTTCTTGTGATGAATACAAATAATAACGTACAATATTTTATGTATCTTCGTCAATCTTGTGTGTTGTGATGTATATATTTTGATTCTTGATTTCTTGTACTATAGAAGTAAAAGACATTAAGTAATAGGTAATAAATATATGAATATATTCAATATATACTCAAATATGGCGAAATTAAATATGAACCCGCAGTTTTTTACAATCATGTCGATGTAAGACGATTTAAGTAGTGGTTTGGTTAGTTGATGTATGACATGAAAAACTATTTGTGTATCAGCAGAGCAAAATGGAAAAAAATCTTTAAAGTTTATCCAATATACATGTTTACACTTGTTTATCCGATTAAATATTTTAATAATTTCATACTTGAAGGAGGAAAGTGTGTGTTTGTGAACGTTAATAAAGTAAATTTCATAAATATTCGAGCCAGACTAGTAATAGACTAGTAAAGCCAGATAAGTAACGAAAATGTACATAGAAAATAATTATCATCGTCAGTGGGGGAGGAAATAACGACAGCCATTGTGGTATATTGCGAGGCGCACGCTGACAGAATCGCAAAGATATCTTTTTTAGAAAATTTTAAACATCCGTCATTATATGTGCTAACACGGCGCGAAAAACAAGTAAAAGTGAGATTCACCTAAATCTATCACAAATCTATATCAAGCCCACATCACACTTGATTTTTTAACATTGCTCTCACTGTAGGATAACATACCATACATAAATTTCACGTGGACAATGACCCAGATACGAAACAATTATCTGTGGGTCACACAATGTGGGAATCGAAACAAAACCCGTAGTGTCGAAGCCAATACAGTGGCAACTGTGTCGTGGAGTCATCAAAGTCGAGAGATCATGTATACGAATGGAATACGGTCGTAGACAGAACTGAGTATCGGCAGCAAAAATGTGCACAAAATGACAGAAACATTGAAAACTGTGATTACAAAGAAATAAGACCGAGTAACATTAAAATGGAGTAAACATATTCAAATTTTTCGTTCAAGTCTGAAATATTGAGAAACAAATTTAGAAAAAGCAGTAATTAAATATTATTTAAAAAAAATATTTGGAAGATATGTGAAGTACACTAATCCACTGCCGGGCTAGTGTGATTACAAATTTAGAAAAAGCAGTAATACTACTACGATCTACTTAACATTTACTTAAAAAAAATTCGTTGTTATATTTTTAACTGGAGGGGAAAAGGTTTCGAAGGCCCAAAACCCACCGCCGGCTGCCGTGTGGGTTACAAACGGGCTACATGCTCGCTCACCGGCCGTCCGGCCCCACCGGCTGGTTCATAAGGCGCGTCTTGAGCACGTCGGCCGGCGTGCCGATCACCGCCGCGCTGAGGCCCGCCGCGAACGCGGCGATCGAGTGCGCGAGCAGCGAGTCCGCCATGCCCAGTTCGCGGATCAGCAGCTGCTTGCTGTAGTCGTACGCGGCGAGGTCGCCGAGGTTCACCAGCGCGGCCCTCTGCACGTTCGGCACGGCGCCTGCGGGAGGCGCGTTGGCGATGCCGCAAATATATCGACGTATCGATATTTTTGATTTCGCGTATCGACATTTACAGCCGATACGTTTGGATCCTATGTATCGATATGTCGGTACAAGTTATTCAATGTCGAAAGTCGTATCAAAAACGAATTATTCATCAGGGGAAGTATCACCGCCTTACAGAACTGGCGTGGTGGAAGTATTACAATTGCGCGATTCGTTTGGCGAGTCGGACTGGGACTCAATTAAAAGGTGGCAACGCATCTGCATTGTTTTACGAGCCCTGCTGCTTAAAGTTTGTCAACTCTGCAAATTTTCTGGTGTTGTAGATGTCCATGAGTGGTGGTAATCAATTAACATCAGGTTAACCATCCGCTCGGTAGATAACTATTCGCATAAGAAATTTCACCTGTGTTCATAACTACAGATCTCTGTACTTTTATTGTGATTAATCCACGCACGCGAAATAGCTTGCATCGTCGTGCAGAGGAGGTAAGCAACCGTCATATAATATAGTCATGGGCGTCATCAAGGCTTTTGTAGAGCCAGTGCCTTTACATCTACGGCTGCCTTTCGTGACACGTGATACTCTACGTGGACCGATTCAAGCGTAATTAAATGTAAATGCGAAAGGAACCCTTGTTTAACTTTGTTAAAAAATCAGAGAAAATTCTAATATAACTTAACTTGGGACAGGTCAATGATTTGTTTTCATAATGTGATTGCTTTTGTTATAAAGATAAGATTCCCCTTACCTGTTAAAGACAGAGGTATTATTACGACAGAAAAAAAAACAAAACATTACTCGATATCGTAAACATATCACGCAATATTTCTCTCGAAACTTTCTATTTACGGCAACGCACAAAAGTAACATAACGTAAACGCATAACATCGATGTTGAAAATCGCTTACCTCTCCAAAATCCCTTCAGTCCGCTCTCGTTGAAGATCATTGCGTACGCTTGTCTGCAGTTCTCGAACCTGGGCGGCTTGCCCTGGAGCCGGCGGCGGCCTTCCGCCTGCATTTGGACCTTCACCAGGTCCGTTGGCGACGCTATCAGCTGAGCCAAACCGCCAGCCGACGCCCCGCCTACGGATCATCGATTTATCGTAACATATCCAAGTTCATGACGGGTGCTTATGAATGGTGATGGTGTTTAACGGATAATTAGGTGACCACTGTGTGTCACTGTGGTAGGGCCACGCAACAATTCACTGTTGCACGAATGGGCCAGTCACCACCGACCGGGTTCCTGCCTTGTCACGGCGGAGGTTCTTGAGAAGAACCCACACTGGCCAACAAAGTCCCCCCTTCGCCTCTGTTCGTCTGACTGAACAGTGACCACAAAAACCGCTGCACGGGTTTTCGTGCTTTTTCCCACCAACAGATTTATGATTCGTGAGCAAAGTTTAAGCGTATAATTCTTTACAATTCTATGTAAAACGGCGGTAATATGACGTTCACCGTTGACGATGTCGGGCCATATTATGGCGCGCGGATAAAACTCTGTGTGTAATGAAATAAAAGATGCCAATGAGCCGTGTGAAGTCGGGGCGGATCAATAGCGCACAAATAAAAGCGAACCGTCGTCTCTCACCCACTGAAGCGATGCCGAGGGACACTTGTTTGCCGCCGTCTGTGAACGTGTTCCGGAACTTCTCGTAGAAGATCAGCCTAAAGCCTGAATACACCGCGTGACGCTGCAGCATCGGCATTAGGCCGCTCCACAGCTTAAAGAAGCCCTCGTTTTTCGCTATGGCCACGGCCGTTTTTATCATGCCGTGATCTTCTAACTGCAAACGTTTGAATCGATATAGACCCAGTTTCAAGATCCAAAAAACAATGACTTTAATCGATTCTGTTACATTTCGTCATTTGCGGTAAAATTAGCGCGTGAAGACTAAACACCTTAATATAATATGTTTTACTAACCTTTATATTAATATCGCATGTCCATACTGCGCGACGTTAAATTTTTTGCGTTAAATTTTTTTTACATTTTAGGACATAATATAAGTGAATGTGACGGATAACATAGAACGTATGATACGAAAAGAGATACCAGTCTATAGAATTGTAATCTAATGACACCAATTGGCGTAATTTGAGTGAGTTTCAGTGCACTAGTGAAATATCAATTCGACAACAGTCATTCAAAAGTTATTCAAAACACAGTCAAGACAAAATCGTCACTTCATATAAAAGCAAACAATAATTTTCATAATGCGTCAGTTTCTAAACAGCTGTCACGAGTTTTAGACGGGGTTTTACATAATCAATCAATATGGGACACTAAAATCTGTCAACTTCGACGGTCGATTTATTTTAGACTCGATTCAATTTAGATTATTTTGGGAAATTAATATAAATATAATCGCCTAACTCGAACCGATTTTAAAAATTCTTTTTGTATTTGGTTCGTAAAGGCCCCATGTAGTGACACTTATTTCATTGTTATTGGAATTTCTAAAAAATCAAATAGAAAATGAATAGTAAGTGATATATTTAGGTTTTTTTTTGTTACTAGAAATGTTTTTTACTGTGCGAGTAGAGCCTTTCGTTCGCAAGCGTTATGTGGATTTTTCGTTACGTATCAAATCAGTAGTAAGGATTCTTATATCCACTCAAAGTAAATAAATCTGTCGAGCTTTTGCGAGTCACCTACCAACCAACCTGACTGCGTTTTCAAGTAGTGGATCAATATATGCTGAAATGTAAAACATTTCAACATTCAACTTCAACAATCTATCGTAACGACTGGTTTTTGGAATGAATATCCGATCTTATATGCAGAAATCATCCTTTATGTACGCCTATAGAACACGCATACCTGGCGAATAAAAGTACCTATTAAAAAAAATAAAAGACAAAATAGAAAGAGGAATAAATGACTCATCTTTCTATTTTGTCTTTTATGTCTTACCGTCTAAAGTCTGCTTTACTAGTAAATTTACTTAAATACAAGGGGAATAAATAATACTAAAGAAAGACTGAGCAGTGACTGCTTTAAAATTGAACGAAAATGTGAACTCGAACAGCAAAAAGTAATCAATGTCGATACAATCTATGTTTAATAAGCATCATAAATACTCCATAGACATTAATATAGTGCAAGAATATCAAACAATTAGAGTCTATAATAAATAATTTCCTAGATAATTCGAACGTCTAAATTGACAGATTTCGGCGTCGCATAATCATCGATTGCGTCAAACTCTTTGATTATATACTTGTACAAGTATATAATAATCAAAGGTCAAACTCTACCAAAACTCGTTACAGCTGTTTAGAAGCTGACCCATTTAGAAACTTATTGTTTGCTATAAACCTTTTCCATTCCATTACCATGTTAAATTGAAGGCCATTTTATTGAAGTTTAGTAAAAGTAACTTAATAACATAGATAACACTAATCGAACAGTCAAAGTGAATATTATATAACTGTCCATCTTTTCTTGACTTTTTGGGTTGTTTCATAATGTTTTACTGCTGTATCGCATTGGGTTTAGCCTATAAAGTTATTTGTATTTGTATAATAAATGTAAATAAGGTCGGTATGTCATACCTCTTCATTCTGTTTCAAAATTACTGATTTAAGCTGAATTAAAATTAAATATGTTACCGCTAATAACAATTCATTAATATTAATATCTATATTGGATATACACTATGAATATAAAAACCACCACCTTTTACAGTGATATCTATGTTCGTGTTAAAGATAATTTCAGCAAAAAAGTGAACGGTAATGACAATAAGGAAGTTTGAAAAAAAACATAACATAGAATAAAAATTGAAAAAAGTAAATATTTTAATAATCTATAATATAACAGGTGTGTTTATGAATAGGTACATATTAGTAACATCTGTTTTAGTGAAGAGTTTTTACATTTACTTAATTTCCCATTTATAATAATTAGCATTCGGTGACTGATTACAATATTGGTGGGTAATATTAATTTAACATTTTTTACCTTAAATCCATGTTTTGCACTCGCGACTTCCGATTGGATTTGCAGTCTTGTTTTTGTCAAATCGAATGGGTAGGTAACTGTTGAGAAATGCGATATTACATTAACAAATATATTTATAGTCTTTTTAACACGCTTATATTAGTTTCACTTGTATATATGTATGTAACGGAAGTTTAAAAGTGATTTTACCCCACTCTGAATGATAAAATTTAAATCAAACTTAGCACACTCGTCAAATACCCTTGACAACGCAATAATTGCACTAGTTTATCCCATTATCCTGATCGGGACTTTGTTAATTAAAGCACTATGAATAGTGTTTTAATTAACATATTAAAATTTATTGAAAATGATTTTCTACTGTTGGTCTAATTTGAGTCACTCGCTTTCAGGGCCTATGCTAATAATGTTGATGGCTCAGTTTATAATTACCAATCTCCCCAGACCACGCGGCGAGGACAGCCACAGCATAACGCGTGTATACGGAGTCCGTCGCCTTAGACGCGGGGTGGTCAACGTTGCGGAGCACAGCCATGGCTGAGGACTACCTCTTTACTCATCCGCCTTTTCCCATAACAGCTGCGGACAAATTTATTGTTAAGACTCAACACCTCGATCGGTAAAAGCAGAGAGATCGCAAATCTCATAAGCTCTATCATAAGGGCGGGTAGAGCATTTTTTTGGCGGTGTATAAAATCTAGGTTTACAACATAACATACGGCCCTTATTACATTTCGATATCAATGTTACGATCAACTGTTCGAAACCTCACTTCAGGTTGATATAGAATCGTCATGTTTGGCAAGAATCAGTTAATGGGAATAGTATTTATTTTTTATTTTTCAGTATATGTATCATAATATAATAATTCTTGTAATGAAAATAGGAGTGCGATATCACTCGCTCTTCAGCGGAGTGTTTTCTTATTCTTTGCTTTATTCACCGGCTAGTGCCTGTTGAGTATTCCACATCCCATGACTTATCCTTAATTACTAAATAAATTATAAACTTGACATTGCATCCGTTGGCCATAAACCCATAAAGCCTATTCACTTCGAGTTCCGCACCAAAATTGTAATCGCACGGAAAGAACTATCTACTAATCATTTTTGTATTATAATTGGACCAAATCAATTTATTAATTGGAAAAAGAAATAATAAACACAATTTGCAAAATAAATGACGTATCAAACTTCATTCACCGGATTTCTTGTCCATTTATTTCCGCCTAATACGGATATGCTCAGAATGAGACAGGCCTTGTCGCCTTACACAAGGTACAAATGGTACACGTTGATTCCTGAATGAGAAAAATGTAATACTCATTGAAGCCAGCAAATGGATTTCAAACACGCAACCTAGGGTCTGACACATACACATACAAAAACGAACGTTTGTTTGTTCGTGCACTTTTTGACTTCATGGTTTGAAAAGTTTCTGATTTCTTAGAATGTTAAAGAAGCGGTGCAATGTCCGTAATATAAAAATATGTTGTTAATTATTTTGTCTAAATATTCAGTAGTATTTTGAACAGCTGTTTCCTTTCGGGTAAAAAAGTAAAGTAACTGCCTATGTGTTTCCCACTGCCAAGCAAAGACCTTACAGAGGGCACGAGGGACAGGGTGTGGAGGACACGGCCGGACTGTAGATTGGCAGACTGCACATAGCTTCTAAATAATGTATATTTTTTTGCAGGAGAGAAAATGCAGGTTTACTCCCGATGTTTTCTTTTACCGTTGCAAAACGTGATATATCTGCAATTAAAATTGCAGTCCACATTTCATTGGTGCCCGGCCCAGACACTGAGCTATCACGGTTATTCTTCCGAGTAATGGACCATTTATCATTTTGATTCTATAATATATTTAACCCGGAACAATAACTTGCGCGTAACCTATACAGCGTGTCGTTACCACCGCGACAATAAATGAACACACATATAGAGGATAACTTTTTAAAATTGTATTAAACATTTACATTCTTCAGTCATCAATATTTACCGAGTTATAAAATTTTCCAAAACAAACAATTTTAGAACACCTTACGTATAAAACTTCAACGTAAAGCTCATTTGTAAAGGTCACAAAGCATATGAATGGGTTGAATGATTTTAAAAGAGACAAAACATACTGTTAGAAGGAGAGGCTTATAATGTGACGGTGTGGTGCGAGTTGTATAGGATGTTACAAATTTTGATTCTTTTTTACTTAATTAGTTTGTTTGAAAAATATTTTTTTTAATTATGGATTTTCTTTAACGTTAATATTTTTTTATGATTATTGGCAAGTAGCGTTAGACGTGTGTTCATTTATTGTCGCGATGGTAACGACACGCTGTATAAAATGTAAAATATTTGATTTATGACAATGGAATATAATTTTTTTAGCTTTACTTTATCTAAGTGAACCCCATACTTTCGTCATTTTATAAAAGCTGACAGTTTGTCAACGCATGCTCCCAACATAGGTAAGAACTATGGACCACTATGAAGTTTGGATTAACCCTGGCTTTGGCAGGTAAACGGTATCAAAGGTGTGTTAAATACATCTAAATTCGTCAAATAATAAAGTGCGATATTTTGGTTTAACTTCAGAATATTAATAAAAATCACGTTATTCATTGCCAGACACTTAACATTGTGGCAACCCCTTAATGTTCCAGAAATTATAATTTTACTTTCGTTATAGTATAAAAGGTGTTTTATATATAAAACTACTTTCGTTATAGTATCAAAGGTGTTTTATATATAAAACTTGGATGATAAGTAAATGATTTTTCGTCATTAACCAGACATTTGATGGTTCCAAACCCGTTCCAGACAAGCAGATGGTTAGCTGTGGCTCTTGCTATATTAGACATTGGACTTTGGCCTCATACAAACAAACGACAAAGTCACGATTAAAAAATTAATATCGAGAAGTCAGCGCTATGAAAATTATAATAAAATTTTATAGTCTTAAATATATTAATGTTATTTATAGCATATTTAAGACTTGCGTGTGATTTTAAATTATTGGAATACATTTATTTCATGTTGCAAAGTTCTTTTTCTTTAACATAAAGAAAAAATTAAATTATCAACGTTGAAAAAAAATTGCTAGTAAATCTGGTTGGGATTATTTTTTAAACGTAATGAGATATGAATTTTATGGAATACATTTTCTAAATAAATATATGGAAATGGAACACACAACACGGCGCACTAGGCAGTGGCCAGTGACCATCATCACTACATAGTATAGAACAAAGTCGTGCCGCTGTCTGTCTGTCCCTATGTATTCTTAGATCTTTAAAACTACGCAACGGAACTTGATACGGTTTTTTTTACTAGATAGAGTGATTCAAGAGGAAGGTTTATATGTATAATACATTGCACCCGTGCGAAGCCGGGGCGAATGAATTATACATATAAACCTTCTTGTATGCGAGCGGGCCGTCGCTAGTCAGATATAATCAGAAATAAAAAAAACTGACTTTCGAAACATTTTTGGCACATAGAATCAGAACTACTTTAAACAGGATAATCCTTGCATATTTTGGAGTTTCGCCAAAATATATATGATGAAACATGGATCCGAAATGTGTAGGTACATAATATAAGTTATCATATAATTAATTAGTATATCACTTGCAAACCATTTAGTATTAAAATTTAATTTCCTTATTTATATAATTTTTCGTCATTTAGTAAAAAAAACAAACATTGTTTATCACTTGAGGTCACGTACTAACAATATTAAAAAAAATTATTTAAAAAATTTAAAATTATAACATAAAAGTTATTACTTTAAGTATTAAAAATTCCATACAAAAATTTTTAATAGAGGCCTGAAAGTTTTTATACAACCAAAAAACTATTTGAAGTAGTGGATTAGATGCCAAGGTCTAATCAGTCAAACTAAAGAGTTCAGAGTCGTTGGCACGCGGCCTAAACAAAGGGGACCAAATCGTTGTACTATAATATATATCAAGTTCTAATTAGCAAATGTATATAGGTTTGGTAACCAAATTACCGTAAACGTTAGGGTATCCCAAGTATCAATCCCCTTATTTCAAGGGATATCCCAAGATCGACGCACACTACCCTTTAATCACAACAATGGCATACGAAAATAAAAAAGTACATAAGTAACAGCCTACCTTGCCTCTCGCCACGATCTCCTTTCAAGATGACGGGAAACGCGACTGATAAGTGGACCTTTAATCACTGTATAAACAACTTCTGTTCTATTTGCCTTGAAGCTGCTGAAGCGATACGTTTGCCGCGCCGTGTTCGAACGCGAAGTTTCGTTTTCAAACTGAATAGTTGCCAGTTGTAAACCGGCGTTAAGGTCGCATGGCTATCGGGTAATTAGTTGGTCAAATACGTGTAGTTATTGTTTACGTAACAGCGTCACAGCGTTTTGTGCGGTGAATTCGCCATATCCACCTTTATATGATGTCTCGTGAAATAATTGGGACTATTAATGCCATCCATACATTTCAATGAGAATAGACTTCAATGAAAACTGAGTCAATGTTCGCTCAAGGTCGATTAAAGTACGGGACGAGCATCGATGACGATTAATATTCGAATGGGAATATATAAATACTCATTTGTTGCAACATTACGAGGCGAGGAAAATGCTTGTGGAAGTTTTTCTTTATTGAAATTTAATTTTTTTAAAATAACGATGCATTTATACTTTATTTTCAGTTGAAACGCTATTGAAGTGCTAATGTACTTCTGAGTGCGCACATTCCATTGGATCCTAGGTAGTAATATCAGGAATTTTTAACGGCATAGAGCTTAACAAACCACATCCGCATATCCTATCACATGGTTAATGTCGGTACTCACGCCCGGTTTCTGAAACACTGATCATCGTAGAAGTCAACTAATCAGCTGTCAAATGGCTTTTCAAATGTTATTTAAGTTGCCAAAAGAAAAGAATGGTTAAACTCTCTGAATTGATCAGAATGATCTTCCTAATAATCACAATCAAAGTCAGATCAGAGGGTGTGGGTTCGATTTTCACTACTGAAAAAATACGTAGTGTTTTTCTAGTGCCTGTGCATATTTTTTTTTTATGTGAAAAGTTGCCAAACGAGCAGACGGTTCACCTGATGGTAAGTGAATACCACCGCCCATGGATATTTGCTACACCCGAGGGTTACAGATGCGTTGACAACCTTTTGAAAATTGGGCTCCGGCTACCTCACTCACCAGACGAAACGCGAAAGTATTTTTTACTTCCACTTTACGCTGGTCTTCTGTGAGGTCATAGTACTTACCCGGACGGGCCTGCCCATTCTTGCAACAGCCGAGGCTGTTGCGAGGCCCTACCACCGTTTATATAATAATATTTATTTATATACAATAAGTTATAATATAGATAATATTTATTTATATACAAAAGAAAATTATGTTTTAGAATGTTTATAAGCAACCTAGTACCCATAGCACAAGCACTCTTGTTAGAGACTAGATAAACGGAGGAAAAGAGTGATGTAAAAGCACGTCCTGAAGTATTTAAGTACTTATATATTTATATA